GAATAAAAGTATCCTAATCAAAACACAGTACTCACATATTCTAATATCTAATAATGAATGAAAATATCACAATCAACGCAGAGTATTCACAAAGTCTAACATCTAATAATGAATGAAAATATCACAATCAACACAGTGTGAGCATATTTCAGGGAACCTGCGATCCTCAGATTGCGAGTCAAGCGCCCTAACCCCTTGGCCATGCCGGGCCAATAGAATAGAAGGAACTCAGCCAGTCAACATACCACCGACTGCCAACTCTTGGATTTCTCTTTACTAACGTTCATTTGTTTGTTTTGAATTTCGCGCAAAGCTACACGAGGGCTATCTGCGCTAGCCGTCCTCAATTTAGCAGTGTTGACTAGAAGGAAGGCAGCTAGTCATCACCACCCACTGCCAACTCTTGGACTATTCTTTTAACAACGAATAGTGGGATTGACCGTAATATTATAACGTCCCCATGGCTGAAAGGGCGATCATGTTTTGTGTGACGGGGACTCGAACACACGACCCTCAGATTGCGAGTCAAGTGCCCTAACCACCTAGCTATGCCGGGCCTCTTTACTAACGAAAAGTGGGATTGACGGTCATATTACAAAAGTCTCTCGGCTGAAAGAGCGAGCATGTTTGGTGACTGGATTCGAACCTTTAATCTGCTAGTTGCGAGTCGAATGCCCTAACTATACAGGTCATGCCAAGTCTTCATCAGTTAAAATATTTTGTTTGTTTATGTATAAATCTTTGGTTACTTGTAATCGAATAGCACAATTTGACCATTACTCTTATAACACACCAAGATATCAATGTACAGAGCGCGATTATGCGGTAACAATATAGGAAGCACAGATCCTCGAATCCCCAGACTGACACTCTAACCATTACACCACCACACTGGGCCCAACATCTCAGACGATATTTGGTAAGGACCAGGGATTATTCTACCAGGTGGTGACGTCAAATGTCTGGGACATTTGATAAAGATGCTAGCTGCACTTTAGGGTGAGGTTTATGCCGTGAGGACTTGTTTAATGTTGTGAGCATTTATTTACATAATAATTAATCATTATTATTTAATCACTCACAACAATCTACAGAAACAAAAGAAACACAAATCATTCATATAGAATTTAAGTTAATTCGTGATGTTAAGTTTAATAATAAAAAAACAAGAATCAACCACTATACTAACCATTCGTATAAATGATGTTATAGTTTTTTTTCCAATTACGTAAGTACTCGACAAATTTTATAATTTTATTTCTCTGCAGTTGTAAATATTTTGGTGTAAGTACTTATTGATTCAAATACTACGTTTATATATATCTTTTACACTTGCTTCTATTTGATGTCTAATGGCTCCACCTAGTGTACGACACAAATGATCTCTAGGTCAGATTACAGAAACTAATATCTTGCAACAACAAAACCTAGACAGCTTTATTAAATTTTGTTTCTAAATTTTATTCCGTTCGTTCCTATTTTCAATATTCAAAGAATTCTTTAATCCATTGATTTCATAACCTCACGTGGCAAAGATACACGAAGTTTTGGATTGACATAAGGTATTTTACTCTGAAGAAATTATCTTAAGTGTCCTTGCTTTTTTATGTTGTTTTTCTACGTTTTTTATCTTGTTTATTAAAAAAAAAATACCTCGTCCTGTAATTTTGATCTTAACTGGTCTTTTCCTGACGGAAAAATTAATCAATTTTTTGTGGTAATGTAGGTACTAAAATAGCAATAGACAGATGGAGTTTTACCTTACATTTCGGTATTTCAGATAAAAAGATATGATATAGACGGAAAAGTTTAAAGAACTAACATTACTTGCGGTTTTTGTAAATAAAAAAATATTAATTTGTTCAGTCAAATGACTAAATACTACACAGTTTTTTTTATTTGAAGGGTA